TTTTTTTTTTATAGATACCTTAGATAATTACCTATCATTTTATATATTTTTGTGAACATTTGACCCTTTAACAGCCCAAAGGATGGGGTTTCAAAATGGTAACTTTTTTACAAAAAATTAACTTTTTCAACTTAACTTTTGAAAATGTTCCGGAAAGACTGACAATTTTATATATACCTTAAATTAAAGCTAATGTAATATACTTTAATTTGAAAAAAAAAAATTTGACCTCTGGACTTGTCTTCATGGTGAAAATGACTACCGTATGCAAAAATATGCTATTTTTGTGAAAAAATTCTTGATATTATATTTTACATTTTTTAACATTATGTTGCTATAACTTTTTAAAAAATGCATGAATCAACTTTATTCTTTAATGATAAATACTTTATATATACTTCTTTCATTCGACATACTTTTTTTTAAAATCGGACCATTTCCCTTTATACAGGGGGGGTGCAAACCTTTTAAAATGCGTATAGAAAGTAGAACTTTTTCAACTTAACTTTTGAAAATGTTCCGGAAAGACTGACACTTTTATATATATCTTAAATTAAAGCTTATGTAATATACTTTAATTTGAAAAAAAAAAATTTGACCTCTGGACTTGTCTTCGTGGTGAAAACGGACATCAAAGTTAAAGAAAAACGTACGATTTCCGTGAAAAAAATCTCGATTTTATATGTTATATTATTTAATTTATATTTTATATAACTTTTGGAAAAATGTATGGATCAATATTATTATTTTTTTATAATAAATATTTATATACCCCTTTCATCTGGCACGCTTTTTTTGTAAATCGGATCATACCCCTTTAACAAGGGGGTCAAAACTTTAAACATGCGTATTGTTACTAAGTTATTTTCAATTTAATTTTTGAAAGTATTCCGGGAAATACTGACACTTTTAAATATATCTTAAATTAAAGCTTATGTAATATACTTTAATTGAAAAANGGTCCACCAACTTCTTATCACTAACAAATATTGGTTACCCTTCGGTTACCAATATTTTATTGAATATAACGCTTTTTCTAACCGATAGATGTAGACACATAATAACAAAAAGCATATATTAAACGCTTTTACCAATAATATACACAACAAAGATCTGTCGGCCGGTGGGAGTATATATACAATTACTATCGTATACACCGCCGTACCAACTCGAATAATTGTGAACGACCACTGCATTTAACAACTTAGCATTTGATATTATATTATAGAGTTTTTTATAAGCTTTCAGAAAATGTATAGAAAATATCTGGACTCGTCTCGGAACATTCACCAATTCGCCAATTACTGTGGCCGAGTTGTTGCGTTTATACGCTACCGAAAGTCATATTCGCGGTCTTTATTTGCAATATTCAGTTATACCTGCACGTTTCACCCGTTAGCTTTTCACACCACTTATAGAGTTTTTTATAAGCTTTCAGAAAATGTATAGAAAATATCTGGACTCGTCTCGGAACATTCACCAATTCGCAAATTACTGAGGCCGAGTTGTTGCGTTTATACGCTACCGAAAGTAATTTTCGCGGTCTTGATTTGCAATATTCAGTTATACCTGCACGTTTCACCCGTTAGCTTTTCACACCACTTATAGAG